AAAAAAAAAAAAAAAATTGTTTTAAATATAATTTAAGATCCCCTCCAAGCACCGGTGTCTGTCTCTGGTTTCCACCACCACCTCACCCCTCCCACACCCCCTCATGGACACAGCTTGGGGGTACTTGGGGGCAGGGAAGTGTCTGGGAGTTGTGGTGTGACCAAGGCATTGTTCCGGAAACAGACACAGCAATGAGGCCCTGTTTCACCCTGGGCAAAGGAGGCAATAATGAAACGGGCCCCTCCAACACAAAAGGTAATGACAAGGACGGTGGAAGAACAAACAACAACGAAAAACAACAAAATAAGGGCGGGGGGAATAAGGCCAAATACAAAATAAAACTCAAAACCTTCAATATGAAGGCAGCAGATGGGGGAGGACCATTTACAAGGGAAAAACTGAGTTCGGGGAAGACAGCAGCAAGGTTGGGACATCCAAGTCCAATGATTTTGTCACTGGGCCACGACACCCCTTCCCGCCTCCGGCCACGATGCGGCGCTCTCCACTCCCGAGCTCCCAGGCTAGTCACCCTCTTCTCTTTGGTCTGCAGGGCAGTGCAGTGGCCCTTCGAGGTGAAGGGGGGGCGGTACGTGGGGCCCTAACTGGGGATCAGAGGGAGGTTGTGGGGATCGTGCCCAACCACTCCTGGGAAGTTGGCAGATTATAAGCGCTTCCTTTCCCTCTGGTCACACCCAATCCCGAGGGAAGGGCTCCCGCACCCTTGGCATAGGGTTCCCCGCCCGGGGGGGCGAGGGGACATGTGATTTCTACTCTCATATGGCAGAATCCTCAAATCCTGTCTCCAAATTGCCAGCTCCCCACCCCCATGGGTTCAAAGTGCAATCCAGTGGGGCCTAGGTATGATGGCCTCTTGGGTCCCCATCCGACTCTGTCCCAGGAAGAAGGGGAGCGGTGTCCCCAGCTGGGAGTTCCTGCCGCTCCAGAGCAGTGGGGCCAGGCAAGCAGGTGCAGGTCAGTACTGGGGGGCTGGTGCTCCCGACCCACCCGGGGCTCCAGGCTTGGCCTGGGACTTCATGTGCTGGACACTGGCCAGGATTTTCTTCTGGTGTCCCGCCAGAGTGACTCCAATTCGGAGCAGGTCCCTGGGGAAGAAGGGAGAGCTAGGTGAGGCCACAGGGCTCCCAGGGAGGCTCTCTTAGCTCCAGACACCTTGTCTTGCCTCAGGACTGTCAGCCAATCAGGAAGGCCAGCAGGGGAGGGGCACGTCAATAGTTGCCAATAGTTGCCGGCAGTTTCCGGAGGATTTAAGAGCCGGGCCTCAGTCCTTCTGCACAGCCGCAGTAGAGGGTGGGGTAGGTAGCTGAGCAGGGCTGGCTGGTGGGAGGTTGTGGGGGCCACAGGTTGGGGCTCCAGCAAGGATTAGGAAAAGGCAGAGAATCAGCGAAGGGGAGGAATGAAAGAGGGAAAAACGCGCAAAATGAGGTTGGGGGAAGGGGCTGCACAGATTGCTTTAGAGGAGAAAAGAGAAGTCAGAAGAAAAGGTCAGAGAGAGAGGAAGAGCGGGTGGGGAGGAAGGGGGGAGGGGCGAACACGAGCTGCCCCGCCCCCCCTCCCCCCCCTCCTGAGGCCTGGAGCCTGAGATAAGGGAGAATAGCAGAGGTGGGAAATAGAGAGCAGTCTCTTGGACAATCAGGGAGCAGGGGGGTCCATGACCTGCCCTGCGGGGAGACTGCCTCCCACCCCCTGGTTCCTAGATTTCTCTCTTCCTTCCACGTGTTATTCAAACCTGGCCTGAGAAAAGAGCCTGGGAGGGAAATGGGAAGGCAGAAAGGTGGAGCGCCAGAGGGGCCGACTGGGGGAACAAAGTGAGAGGCAAGTGAGAGGCAAGTGAGAGGCGTTGGAACCATAAAACTATTTAACATTAAAGCTGGAAAGGATCTCCAAAACCTAGTCCAACCCTCTCCTTTTATGGGTGGGGAAAACAGCCAGAGTTGTCACTGTTAATGTGAGAGCAGAGCCCGGAATGTAGATACACGAGGATAGATACCTATGGTGCGGCAGGGCCATGGGGGTGGCGCAAAGGGGTGAGCTGGGCAATGCCGGCCTGGGAGATTCTGTGGGCTCTCAGCCTCCAGAGCTGTTACTGCTTGTTTTGGTGGGGGTGATGGTGGTGGAGACTCTTGCTAACAGGGTTTGCACCAGGGATCTCCCCCAAAGGTCCCTGCTAAACCTGGTCCCCAGGTACCCCTCAGCCACCACCTCCGGCTGCTGCCACGACTTACTCAGCGGAGATCTGGCTGACCAGTTCGAAGGAGCCAAAGCCAGCGGCTGCGAAACTTTCTTCGTATCTTCCCATCTTGATGGCTCGAAGCCACTCACCCACAGAGCCGAAAGCTGAGTAGTGAGGCTGCCGCTGATCCAGGAGTGGGTGCGAGGCCCTGGGAGGCAAGCATGGGCAGGGGCGCGCTGAGCTCCAGGGGCTACATCAGGTGGAGACTCCGGGCCCAGCCTCGGAGAAGCAGGCAGGGACAATCCCACAAACCACCAGAGGGACGGATACTTCTGAGGAGGAAGGGCGGGGGCTCTCAGGTGGTGACAGAGTGTGGGAAGGAAGCCCGCTGTCTGGGATCCTCACCCGCCATTCTCCCTGGACACGATTTTGAGACTGGCTGGGTTCCGGATCATCTTGTCGAGGGCGCTGACCACCTGGGGGAAGCGGGGCCGTGCGTTCCGGTCCTTCTGCCAACAGTCCAGCATGAGCTGGTGCAGGGAAGTGGGGCAGTCTGGGGGCGGGGGCAGCCGGTAGTCCTGTTCAATGGCATTGATCACCTGGAAGGACAGGTAGGAGCACCGGGTGAGGGTCTCCCGGGAACACTGGGGTGCCAAAGGACTCCCAGAAAATGGGGACTTAGCAGATGCCGGGAGAGGTGCCATAGCCCCTGAGAATGGCAGATTTGGGGCGGGGGTCCTCCTGGCCGGGGCTGAAGCTGGCTGTGGCTTGAAGCCCCAGTGGCTCTTGGGCCGTGATCTAGATGAGTAACTTCCCAACCCTGCCCTCCTCTGTGTCCTTCTGTGACCAGACGTGCTATATCAAAGTCTTGGATACAAAGATCAACTCTACTCTGTGCCACCCTCAAGGACAACAGCGATTAGCTCTTTGGGGACCCCACTCCCCAACCCATATCCCACGCGAGAGAACATTTCAGGTAAGCTTGGTAGGACTATGGGACACTTACATCCTGATTGCTCATGTCCCAGTATGGACGTTCCCCAAATGACATGACCTCCCACATCACAATTCCGTAGCTCCAGGCATCACTAGCAGATGTGAATTTCCGGAAGGCGATGGCCTCAGGGGCTGTCCATCTGATGGGAATCTTTCCCCCCTAAAGATGAGGAGGGAAAAGGTTAGCTGAGGGACTCACGGGACCCAGGCATTTAGCCCCCTGCCTTGGCCTTCCCCCAGGCCTCCTTTCTTTCTGGGACTCAGACACATAGCTCAACTCTGTTCTTTTCCTGGACACCGGAAGTTGGGTTCCCTAAGTTGACCGCCCCCTCCATGGTCTGCGCCTACATCCTGACCCTGAACTGGAGCTGCCAGTGCCTCCCATCTTTCCACCTGGCCCTGAGAACCTAGTTCATACGCAGGTCCCCCAGCCTCACCAGAGAGCTCGTGTAGGTGGGGTCAGAAGAGTTCTCCTCCAGGAAGCGGGAAAGCCCGAAGTCGGAAACCTTGCAGACAAGGTTGCTGTTGACCAGGATGTTACGTGCAGCCAGGTCTCGGTGGACGTAGCTCATCTCAGCCAGGTACCGCATGCCTGAGGCGATGCCCCGCAACATGCCCACCAGCTGGATGACGGTGAACTGCCCGTCGTTCAGCTGGAGACCAGACGAGGGAGAGGGCACCATCAGGCCAGCGCACCTGCCATCCCCCCTTCCTTCCACTGACCTCCCAGGGAAGCCCTCCTCCTTCCCAGGGAAGCCCTCCTCTTTTCTCTTACTCTGAGCTCTCTCAGCTCTCACTACAGTAATCTGACATGATGTTCAAGATTATACGATTATTTTTAACTTTTCTTTTATTTAGCGGTGCCTGGATGGCTTAGTCGGTTAAGCGTCAGACCCCAACTCAAGTCATGATCTCATAGTTCGTGGGTTTGAGCCCCACGTTGGGCCCTGTGCTGACAGCTGAGAGCCTGGAGCCTGCTTCGGATTCTGTGTCTCCCTTTCTCTCTGCCCCTTCCTTGCTCGTGCTCTGTCTCTCTCTTCCTCTCAAAATCATAAACATTATTAAAAAAAGAACAAAAAAAATCATTTTCTTCTGTTTAGCCTAAGGCAGGGCTTTATATCCAGGGAGTATCAACAAATCCTTTTAATCTCGTACTTTTTTTTTTTCAGTTTTTTACTTTTTAAAAAAATGTTTTTAATGTTTATTTAAAAAACATTTTTTTTTTTTTAACATTTGTTTATTGTTGAGAGACAGAGAGAGACAGAGTGCAAGCAGGGGAGGGGCAGAGAGAGAGGGAGACACAGAATCCGAACGAAGTTCCAGGCTCTGAGCTGTCAGCACAGAGCCCGACGTAGGGCTTGAACCCATGAGCTCTGAGATCATGACCCGAGCTGAAGTTGGAGGCTCAACCGACTGAGCCACCCAGGAGCCCCTAATTTTTTCTTTATTTCTGACACAACTCTTTTCCCCCCATTTTTAAGTAGGCTCCGCACCCAGGACAGAGCCCAGTGCAGGGCTGGAACTCAGGATCCTGACATCAAGACCTGAGCTGATATCAAGAGTCAGATACTTAACTGATTGAGCAGCCCAGGCGCCCCTAGTATGTTCTTTTTATTTGGAGGCAACAGAGTGGCGACAGTTGAGGTGTGCCCTAAACTACCTGTCTACAGGTGCAGATGCACTTGTGCTGACCCAAAGAAAGCTTGCTCAGCCCTCTTGGACCAGCTGTGTGTAGCCTGCAACACGGCAGTGAAAAACTGGGTGCGATCAATGAACACGGCGCCAAAGCCAAGACCTAAAGCCTGACCTTGACCTTTACAGAGTCTGCTCTCACCGGATCAGCCAAACAGTTACAGTGGACAAATCCCATCCTCTGGATTCAGCAAGCACGCAGGGGACCCTTGGCAGCCATGCAGGGCCAGGGCCAGAGTCCAAACCCTGAATTCTGAACCCTCCTCTAAGCCTGCCCCTGTCCCACACCTCAAAACTCAGCTTGCAGAAACGCCGCTGGCCAGATGCTCGGGGCAGACGCCAGGGTTCTCTGCGATTCCTCTCTTCCTCACCTGCCACTTACAATCCATCAGCGGGTTCTGCTGGCCCTGCCTCCAAACCACGTCCCGAATCCAGCCACTTCTCCCCATCCTGCTGCAACTGCCGTGCCCCAAAGGATCGCGAGTCTCCCCACTGGCTCTTGGCTCTTGTCCCCCAGCACACCAAAGGGAGCTCCTAAAATCACCTCTCTTGCCGAAATCCCTCCAAAGGCTTCCCCTTGAACTTCTAATCAAATCCAAACTCCTTACGAAGGCCATGAGGCCCACGTGCTTCTCCTCCATCTGCTCCTGGCTGGCTCTCTCTCATCTACCCAAATGTCAGCCCAAATGTCCTCTCTTCTTCTTCTTCTTTTTTAAATGTAATCTCTACACCCAACGTGGAGCTTGAACTCACAACCTCGAGATCAAGAGTCGCATGCTCCACCGACTGAGCCAGCCAGGCACCCCAAATGTCATCTCTTCTAAAATAGACCCTCCCTCCCTCTCTTGGCAACAAGACCTTTGTATGGTACCAAGGAACAGAAGCCTGTGTCCACAAGGAAGGGTCAGGCCGCCATCACACTACCCCAAGGCCTGCCTCAGCATCTCTCCTGATGAGAGCCAGAGAGCCTGTCCTGGATGGGGTGTCATGTGAGGTACACAGCACCCCCGATGGAGGCTGGCCACACATATTTACTTTTGAACTTATCAGAACATTAAATCTATCTTCTCTTAAAGGAAGTGGAGAAACAATGACCCCATAGGGAAGAAGCTGATAAATCCAGAAGGTGAGACATTCAAAGGAATAAGAGGCCCAGCTTTTCAGAATGTCAGTGTGTCACAACAAAGAACGGTCCTGGATTTAGAAGAGGCTCAAAAAAATAACCACCAGGAAAAACAAAACACAACAAAACAAACAAACAAACAAAACCACTAAGTGCAATGCTTGAACTAGATCCTGGTTTGGAGGAACCAGGAGGAAGGAGACATCTGGGGGACAACTAGGGAAATGTGAATATTGACTGGGTACCGGATGATCCCAAGGAAGCATCATAATTCTGTTAAATGCAATATCTTGCTCTGTAGGAAAATGCGTTTTTTTTTTTCCCAAAAAGATGTAAAGTTAAAAAATAAATTAAAATCCAGTGAAGCCCGTTAAAGTGATGAAAATTAAAAGAAACTCTTCCCCATCATCTCAAGTCACTTTTCCAAATTATCTGTATTTAAATTTTTTTTTTTTTTAGAGTGACAGAAAGTGGGAGGGGAGAGGGACAAAGGGAGAGAGAATCTTAAGCAGGCTCCATCCACAGAACCCCACTCGGGGCTTGATCCCACAACCCTGGGATCGTGACCTCAGCTAAAAATCAAGAATCAGACGCTCAACCGACTGAGCCACCCTGGCGCCCCCAAAATATCTGTATTCCAAAAGTTTATTTGTTTACTTGTTAATTTCCAGTCTCCTCGATTATACTGTCAAGGGCAGAGATGTTCATGGCTTTATTCCCAGGACCTAGGACAGTGGCTGATGTGCCAGGTGGCACTCAGGAAATATTTGTCAAAAGGACAAATGACCATCCTTCCAAATCTTGGGGTCAGCTCGCCCCACCGAGAGGCCATTGCCACTCACGGCCGAAGGAAAAGCCAGTCCCAGGAATTCAAGCTGTCCCGAAGGAAGAACAAAGGGCAGAGGAGGTGTGATGCCCCACGATCGTGCCCCACGATCTACCTTGGTTCTGAGCTCCTTGGCTGTGCTGGGGGAGTGAGGGGGGTGCAGGAGGCTGGGGGCAGAAGGCTCACCCGCAGGAAGGAGTCCAGGGCGCCGTTCTCCATGAACTCGGTGAGGATCATGACAGGCACGCTGTTGGTGACCACGCCCTCCAGGCGGATGATGTTGGGGTGCTCGAACTGGCCCATGATGGAGGCCTCACTTAGGAACTCCCGCCGCTGCCTCTCCGTGTAGCCCCCTTTCAGGGTCTTGATGGCCACACAGCTCTCTTTCTTTCCTGGGGCCTTGAGCCGCCCCCGACACACCTCGCCAAACTCGCCTTCAGGAAGGACGCTGAGGGTCAGCCCTCCTCTGCCCACCATCTGGCCCTCCTTTTCCTCCCACAGGCGCCCAGCCTTCCTCTCACCTGCGCCAATCACCTCCTCAATCTTGACATAGGAGACATCGATCTCTTTTGCAAACTCTCTTACAGCCTCATTAGGGTCTTCGTAAGTGAAGGGGTCAATGTAGACCTTAGTACCTGAGGGATCACACAGGCCCCGTTAACCGAGAAGCAGCTTCCCATGCACTCAGATGCCTGGGTTCTCGGCTCACAGCTCTGCCCCCAGTCCTGCTTCTTTCAGGACACGCCTACCCACCGTGCCCGATGAGATACTGTCCGTGTTTGTCTGAGTATTCAGCTTCTCTCCCGCTGCTCTGCTTCCTGTGGCCAATGGGAAAGAAAAGGTAAAATGAATCCCACATCTGTGCGTTCCCAAAGGGACAGGACCGGGGGGAGGAGGAGCGGGGATGAGAGAAGCTTCCAAGAGAAAAAACAAGTATCCTGGGGCATTGGGGGAGGTTTGCCTGGAGCGAGCGGGCAGGCGGACAGCTACACGGGCCTTCCCAAGGGCCTCCAGGTGCCCAGAGCCCTCACCTGAGGCACAGGACGGCGATGACGATGACCACCAAGACCAGCACCACACCCACGACCGCCGTGCCTGCGATCAGGGCCAGCTGCTCCCGCCAGCTCTCATTCTCTGGGGGAGAAAAACTGGTGATCAAGAGAAGCCGACGGCCCCTGGGGACCCCACACCAGCCGCGAGGCACGAGCCGTGTTCCCTCGCGAACAGGCCCCCAGCAGGGTCGGGGGTACGGGGAAGGCGGAGGAGGCGCAGGGTCCGGGAAGCACAGTGGTTTTCGGACTGCTTTCCACCAGGTGGGGGCCCCTCCCAAGTCCCTCAGGGCAAGGGAGGAAGTTTCCAGACCTAGTTGCGGCAAGAGCAGTTTGATTTTGTTCAGTTACAGATAATGGTGATCACAGAAAGTCCCCAAGGGCTAAAAATGAAAAGGTTTGTAGCCAAAAAAGTGGAAGTAACCCAGATGTCCATCAACAGATGAATGGATCTATAAAACATGCTGTAGCCACACAATGGAATATTTTTCAGCCGTAAACAGCACTGATACACGCTATAATATGGGTGAATCTCGAAAACACTCTCCTAGAGGTGCCTAGGTGGTTGAAGGGCTCAGTCGGTTGAGCATCTGACTCCTGATTTTGGCTTAGGTCATGATCTCAGGGTCATGGGATCGAGCTCCACGTCAGGCTCCAGTGTGGAGCCTGCTTGTGATTCTCTCTCCCCCTCTCTCCACACCCCCCCCTTCTCTCTCCCAAAATAAACTTGAAAAAAAGAAAAAAAAGAAAACATTGTCCTGAGTGAAGGATGAAGCCAGTCTCCAAAGGCCACAGAATGCACGGTTCCTGTTTGTATGAAATGTCCAGAATAAGTAAATCCACAGGGACAGAAAGTAAATTAGTGTTTGCCAGGGGCTGGGGGTGACTAAAGGGCTATAGTATCTCTCTTTGGATGCTGAAAGGTTCTAAAATTAATTGTGATGGTCACACAACACTGAATATACTAAAAGCCACCAAACTGCACACTCTAAGTGGGTGAATTGTATGGCATGTGAGTCCCAGCTCAATTAAACTATCAAATGAAAAGGCTCAGGAAGCTACTGGGCCAAGCATAGTAAATTTTTTTTCTTTACATTTATTTATTTTTGAGAGACAGTGAGACAGACCTCGAGCGGGGGAGGGGCAGAGAGAGAGGGAGACACAGAATCCGAAGCAAACTCCAGGCTCTGAGCAAGCATTCAGCACAGAGCCCGAAGCAGGGCTCCAACCCATGAACCGTGAGATCACGACCTAAGCCGAAGTCAGATGCTCAAATGTCACCCAGGGGCCCCCCGGGGCCAAGCATATTAAAATGAATAGGTATGGGGTGCCTGGGTGGCTCAGTCGGTTAAGGGCCTGACTCTTGATTTTGGCTCAGGTCATGATCTCATGGTTTGGGAGTTTGAGCCCGGCATAGGGCCCTGCGCTGACAGCGGGAGCCTGATCGGGATTCTCTCTCTGCCCCTCCCTTGCTCGTGTGCTCACTCTCTTTCTCAAAATAAACAAACATGAAAAATGAATAAATAAAAATGAACAGGTGTCACCTCAGTTAATCCTTGGAGCCCTGTGAGAGAGGCCTCAGGATATTTCCACTTTAGGGGGAGGAGAGAGGTGGGACTTAAGGAAGGGTCAGGCTTCTGCCGAAAGTCACACAGCCGGAAAGCCACTGAGCAGGTCTCCCCTCCCAGCTATACGTTTTGGTTTCTGCAGCCTATGCTCTCCTCACTAGGCCAAAACGCCTTGTGGTTGAAAGAGGAGCGTGGGAACGTGACTTTGGGGGTCCTCCCAGGGCACGGGCAAGGCCTGCCCATGCCCTGCTCCCCAGGCTCACCGTCCAGCTGTGTTTGGCTGTGGTGCTCCTGGCCGAAGGGCCCGTAGCCGGCCTCGGAGCGCGCCCGCACCTGGACCAGGTAGCTGGCTCCCCGTTTCAGTCCCCGCAGCTCCGCCCGGTTTTCAGACGTCTTCAGGAACCGCACGCTGCTGGGGCCCTCTGTGCCCTGTCCGAGAGGAGGGGCTGGCTGTAAACCCCGCCCCCCGCCATGTTCCCACTGCTCTTCCCACCTCTCCCTCCCTGCCCTGAGCCTCCCCCATCATTGCATCTTGGTTCCCCTGTGCAGCAAGAGGGGCCTCAGAGCTCATTTATGTATCCGCTGTGCTGGGTGTTTGGTTTTTATCATAGCATTTAATCCTTGCAGCCATTCTGTGGGGTTGGTACCTGTAATTGACTTACAATGGAGTTATTAAACTCAGAGAGGCCAAGGGGCTGGCCCAAGGTCACACAGCTAGTACTCAGCAGAGCTAGAACTCAAATGCCTATTGGATGCCTGTAATTGAGGTGTCCCAGTCCCCAAACACGTCCCCCTGCCCACCCCAAACCCCCAGGGGCAGGTCCTGCTCTCACCTTCTCGTGGTACTTGACCTCGTAGTCCAGCACAGCTCCGCTGGGTGCCCGGGGAACAGCCCAGGCCAGGCTCAAGCTGCTGGGTGATGACCTTGTCACCCGGATGTCGGACACTGGGGGCGGTACTGTGAGGGAGAGGACAGGGTAGGGTATTGGCTCGTGACAGGTCTGTTCCCTGTCTTTCCAACTCTGCCTCTGCTGGCTACACCTGTGTCGGTCCTCCAGCTGTTCCAGGAGTTGCCTCTGACTCTCTCTGCCCCGTCCTGAAAGCCTGCCTGCCTCGGCACCGTTTTTCACTCGCTGTGTCTGCCTCTTGCCCTGCAAGCCCTGACTTTCCACGCTTCCCGGCGGCCTCACTGCCCCACCACCGACTTTTGCCCTTCAGGCCTTGGGGCCAGCTGCGTCCCTTCCAGCTGGCTCGAAGTCTCACCCTCACGGTCAGTGGTGACATTCACAGCCTCAAACGGGACAGGTCCGGTGGCTAAGGAGGACACCCCATTCGAGGCGGTGACCTCGAACGTATAGGTGAAGTCAGGACGCAGCCCACGAATCGCCACCCAGGGCTCCACAAGGTCCCGGGGGCCAGGGTCGAAGGTCAGGTCTCCTCCGCAGGGTGTGCAGGACCCCCCAGGGCGGCACTCCCGGCAGCGCAGGGCATACGTGAGGTCATCTCGGCCCCCGGACTCGAGGGGGGCGCTCCACTCCAGGCGCAGGGAGGAGCCATTCAGCCGGGGAACCACACTTCTCGGAGCAGAGGGCGGCGCTGTGGGACACCAGGGAGTCAGGCTGACCCGCTCAGCAGAGAGGGGCAGTGGGGCACGCAGGCAGCCTCGTGACTTCTTGTCTTGGCTGGGCACCAGCAGGCCAGGGCCAAGAGGAGGAAGGCCGGAGAGGCTGGGAGCTGGGGTGGGTGTCCACCCGCCGCCCCAGGGGTCACTGGTCACTTACTGGTACAGGGCGCACCCCGGGAGTCTGTGAGGGCCCGGAAGTACCCAACGCGGCACTGGCAGACGGGCGAGCCAATGGTGTTGGAGTGGCTGTTGGCTGGACACGACTGGCAGGACCCCTCCCCATTTAAGGGCTTGAAGGTGCCTTGGGCACAGGCTGAGAGAGAGACAGCGTTCATCAGAAACATTCAGCTGCTCTTAAAGTTGCACGGAGGGCACACAGCGAGCAGCAAGGGAAGAGCTCAGAAACTTCGCCTCTAAGAGGAGAAGGGGACCCTGCCTCCAGATCAGGGTTTCTGACCTTTGTTAACCTCGACACCCCCTACAAATGCCCTCTGGCAGTCTGGTAAAACCACAGACCGCTGCTCAGAATTATGTTCTTAAATGCACACCACTAGATACACCGGATCACAACAGAGACCAAGGAAACTGAAACATGATGATCAAAACATGAGAAAAACAAGTTTGTGCCACAGGAATGAACGTGTTTTCTTTATTTACAAGGTAGAGTGGCAGGCCCGATGGCCACTGGAATACTGAAGCCCTGATGGGCAAAAAAAATGCAGCTAGGACATTCCTGAATCTTCTGGAACGGGCTGGGAAAATAGCTGTGATTCGAAAGGTGTGCAAGTCTCAGGTCCTGCTGTGACTGCTGGGCCCTGTCACTGTCAGAGGCCAACTGCAGGTGGAGGTGAGTGACAGTAAGGTCATTTTCTTTTCCACAGAAGTTCCCAGATCCCTTATGTTCAATCTACAAAACCTGAGTTTTGCACGCACGCGCTAGAGAAAAATAGCTAAGTGAGAATTCAGTCTCAGTAAATTAGAGGAAACCATGATGAACAAGAAATAGAGACCACGATGCCTTTGTCCTCAGAGCCCAACAAGGTACCCTCGTCCTGCGGTCAGCCCTGCGTCCCTCACCCCTCATCCAGGAAAGAATTGGGGACATAGTTAGGAGAAAGGGTGTGAAAGAGCTCAGAACTACGCTGGGGGCTCTGTAAACAGGCCCTGTGAGTGCCCTTGAGAACAGAGAAATGTTCAAAATGGAAATTGGAGCGGGTCCAAGAGCGGGGTATGGGCGAGCTGCATGGGTGGGCAAGCTTTACGGAGAAGACGCTGGGCCTCACCTCGGCACTTGGTATTCCCCTCGGCGGCCTCGAACCCTGGGGCACAGCTGCAGCCCGTGACCGGCTGCTCGGCCCACTGGCCATCCTCCCGGCAATAGAGGCTGGGGCTGGGGCCGGGGGTGGGGACGGCGTCAGCCACACAGCTCCCCGCCACGGGCACCACAAGCTCCCGAGGCACAGTCTCCGGGAAGCGGGTGAGGTTCACGGTCAGCTGGGCGCACTTCTTGTAGAAGAGGTGCAGGGACAGCAGGGCCATGCAGGCACCCTGGTCCTGGAAGGCCAGATAGAAGCCAGCCTTGGTGAGTGGGCCCAGACGCAGCGTCTTCACGTTCACCTTCCCGGTTGCCTCGGCCCCAGGGCGCTTCCGGGTCAGGTGCTCAGCAGCCACTGTGTCCACCTGCCAGGAGCAGGGAGAGACTCATTGCCAACTGTCTTCCGCTCCCCGAGGGCCTGGGGGACTATTTTCTTCTTTCCAGCTCACCCTCTCCCTGACCACCTCCGTTCCTGTTCCAGAGCCTTCTCTCCTCTTGCCTGCAGGCCCCAACATTACCCATTAATGCTTGCTGAGCTCCTATGATGCGTCCAGCCTCTGTCCTGCACGCCCCCTTTCTCTTCACTCACTCACCCTACAGACATATATCAACACCTGCTCTATGACAGGTCCCTGGACTCGGAGCCGAGGAAACAGGAACGAAGGAAACAGAGAAGTTAAAAGCATGATGAGATCTGTAGCTGGCGGGAGACCCCAGGGCAAAGGCGTCCCGGGGGAGTTGAAGCTTGCAAGGCAAGTAGGAATCGGATGGAAGGTGCAGAAAGGAGTCTCTGAAGGGCAAGGTGTACTCACAGAAGGTGGGAAGTGGCAGAGGTGGTCTAGACGACCCCCCCCCCCCCCCCCCCCCCCCGCCCCGGAGGTCCTGGGGGCAGCTCAACTACACGTGACTGCTCCACCCAGCCAACCACCTTCTTCCCTCTCCAGGCTGCAGCATCCTGCTTCCAGGCCCCAGCGCCCCCGCAATCCCCCAGAGCCTCGGAAGCTCAGCCATTGCCCCTGGACCACAACGGGCCTGCCACAGTCCCACACTGGTCGGCGGCTGGGTCCCGGGCGCCCGGGTACCTTGATGTAGGGGTTCTCCATCCAGGCTGGTGTGAAGGCTGTGGCCGTGTCAGCATCGCTCTCGAAGTAGAAGACAGTGAAGGTCTCCTTGCAGGAGCGCCCGGCCCGGGTCAGGGACAGGCACTCGAGCATGGTGAAGCGAAGCGTGGCATACACGTGGACAGCTCCCCGGCGCGGGACCCAGCCGGTGCGCAGCCAGTGGGCCAGGCCCGGGGCCCGCTGCACGTCGCACACCTCGTAGGTCCGAACGCTGTGCTGCTCTTCATCCAGGCCACTCAGCTCCTCCCACTGTGGGGAGAGTGGGGGGAATCAGCTTGGGGGCTGCTTGGGGGGGTGTCTGTGATAAAGCAAGGAGGGGCTCAGGCTGCTGTGATCTGGGGGCTGGCGGCATGGGAAGCAGGCCAGCACAGGTACCTCTTGTCCCTCCTCCTTCGGTGTCCCTCCAAGCCCCAGCTCCTGGGCCTGCCTCCTACCTGCCCCTCCACCTGAGGGAACGTGACCCACTTCAGGTCTGCAGTTTCCAGTTTCGTGTTCAGCAGGGTCTCTAAGACAGACAGACAGACAGACAGACAGACAGACAGACAGTCAGCACTGGGGGAGACACCAGGGAGACCAGATCCCTGGGAACTGACCGAGGCAGGTGGGTCCTCTGAGCTCCAAGCTGGTGGCATTGGGGCTGACTGAGCCGAGAGATGAAGAGGGGAGCAAGTCCTGTCCTCTGCCACCCTGTTTCTCATCTCTTTATTGGAGTGCCAACCCCACCCCTAACAGCTGGCAGGCACCGGGCTGCCCCCCTCCGAATTCCCTGATCTAGGCTTCTGAGAACCGCTCTGCCCTGAGGAAAGGGGAAGAAGGCCAAACAGCTCAGACAGGGTTAAACTAGAACCCCGACCTGGCATGACCTGAGGGAAGAGAACCGCAGGCAGGGGGATACCCCTCCCTACAGGGCCTGCCTCACCTCCACTCACAGTCCCTTCCTCAAATCCAAAGTCACTGCCTCCCTCCCTGCAACCCCATTCCTGCTCCAGGCTCCTACCTCCTTTTGGGACCAAACACTCCAGTCCTTTAGATCCCTGAAGGTGGTACTCAGCTGCCCAGGCCCAGCCCTGCCACCACCACCCCCTGCCCCCACCTCAAGAGCTCGCTGCTGTCAGAGGAGGAAGTGCTGGAGGCCAGGACGCTTGGGTTCCCGCCCCGGCCCCTGCCTGCGGAGGCCTCACATCTGGATTTGGTTACGGGAAGGAAAAGGGGAGGAGATTTTAGGGGTGTGTGTATGGAGGGGTGAACACACCTGGCTCCGCTCCGCTCTGGTCTCTGGGGAGGGGCATCGGGGGAGGGGTGGGGCTCTGGCGGAAAGGGGGGATTAGGAGAAACATCACAGCCCCTGGCAGTGGAGGGTAGAGGGAGGGTAGGGGAATCCCCTGGGAGGCTAGTGCCATGTGGGAGGCCCCCAGGGGAGCCAGCAGCACACCTGGGACCAGGTTCCCCCTACTCACCCGCCGCCTGCCTCCCTCTGCCCCTGTGGGGGCTGCAGGGGAGAAGGGAAGGTGGGTGGGTGGGGCAGCCTCCTCCCAGGGGCCAAGTGATGTCCACGGAGGGCAAGGGGTCAGACGGGACCCCAGCCAACCCGAGGTGAGGCCCGGGCCCCCGGGGGGTGGCAGGAGCCAACCCGGCACGCTGGGGACAGGATGCCCGGGTTCTGGGAAGGGGGTGGATAGAGGCTGCCTGCCGTCTCCACCCTCCATTGTTCCAGCCTGGATAGTGTTTTCCTGTCTCCAATTTACACACTGTCTGTTTCAGGGCTGTCCTCAGCACTCTGAGAGACTCACTTTCTCTCCTCCTATCTCAGGCTCAGAGGGCCTGCCTCAATCTGTCAATTCTCTTGCCTCTCACCTCTCTCCTCCACCCTCCGTCCACCTCCATTTCTGTCACTATACTCCCCTAGGTTTTCCGTCTCCAGCCTTTCACGTTCACTGGGGCACGTGGCCCTGGGCAGGTTATCTCACTCTTCTAAGCCTCAGTCTCCTCATCTGTAAAATGGGGGCAACAATCCCTCCCACAGCAGGGCTGTTGTGAAGGTGAAAATTTAGCGCAGGCCTCAGGCTGGGAAGGAACTTACTTAGCAGCATGAAAACATTCCCCCTTTCTCCTTTGCCTCTTTCCTTCCCTCTCGACATGCTTTGCCCTGGGGCGTATCTCCCCACTTTGTCTTCCTTTCCCTCACTCAGTTATTTCCCCTTCTTTCTCGGAGCCGGGCAAGGGTTCCCTCTCCCCCTCCCCAGCCTTTGATCCCCAGCCCAGAGCAGCACTGCCCAGCCTGGGGGAGAGGGGTTTCCAACTGCCTTTGATTCCTCCTCCTCAGCAGCA